TTTTTTTTTTTACCTGCAGGAGACCGTGATCTCCACTTTGGTGGCCGGGATGCTGCCCGTGAGGGGGTCGAAGTCCTGCACCGACGCCATGTCCTCGAGTTTGTCCAGAACGTCCTCCTCCATGGGAGAGAGCGAGCGAGAGAGCACGGGAGAGCGGCGCCCCTCAACAAGTCGCCGAGCGCGCCGGCTAGCCGGAGAGACCGAGCTGCCACTGAGCCCTAAGCGTAGCCCCGGCTCAGCCAGCGGGCGGGCGGGCGGGCGAGCAGGCGCGCTCTCTCCCTGTGGCTCCCTTCGACGGTACGTGTTTCTTCGCTCAAGCGCCGCGGTGACCCACGCACCAGCCGGGCGTGAAGCGCTGGCCGTCGCGGCGAGAAGCCGAGCTTGGAGGTGGAGCGCGCTTTCTTTCTCTCTCTCTCCCTCTCTCTCTCTCGCCACACACGCCGCGGTTTCAGAAATGGGGGGTGGGGGGTGGGGGCAAAAAAGGAGGCTTTTCCCCCCCCTCAAGTCCACGGAGGGAGATTTCAGTGAAGCTCCACCTCCTTCAGAATCCAAACGGCCGGCGGGCCGCCTCAGCCCAGCTTTGGTCCAACGGCAAACGGGGGAAACCCCCACCCCACTCCCCCCCCGCCCCCCACCCAGCGCGCCCTCGAGCGCGCGCCGGCCCGATCTCCCCCCACCCACCCCCGCGGGGAACCTGTTTCCCCGCCGCCCGCCCTTTCTGCGCCGGTGCCCGGGGGAGCGTCAGCCTCGGAGGGCTGGAACGCACCTTCGCAACCGGCAGGGGCAGCCGCTGAAGCGCGCGGGGATTTGGATCCGCGCTTCTCCCGGGGGTGGGGGTGGGGGGGGAACGGAGAGCGAAGGCTCTTTTGTCTCTGGGGGCAGGTGCCTGTGGCGTGGCGTGGCGTCCGGCTGGAAGGAATTGCAACCTTCTCCAAACCGGGAGCCGGGAGTCATAGTCTTAGGCAGCGGGAGGGCAGCGGGTCGAAGGAAGCTTTTTTTTTCCCCCCTAGCCTTTGAAAGTATGCGAACTGGCTATAAGTGCCGTAGATGCGATTTGAAAGAGACCTGGAATCGGAGCCTGAGCTGCGGCCAGGGAAGAAAAGAGGAATGAGTATGGCGATCGTGAGAAGAAATGCATTCCGTATATATGTATGTTCTTATGACAGCCACACACACACACACACACACACACACACAGAGAGAGAGAGAGAGAGAACACACAACACATAACACACACCTCAAACATAAACTGGCCTAAGCAGTTCTGGGCAACGCATGTTATAGGACATAATAATCAGCTTTCTCTGATGTGAAGGCTTTGGGAAGGTAGGATAGTGCAGAGATAAATCATAATACAAGGCCATTGTGGAGAGCAGGAGGCACATAAACTCCACAATAGTCTAGAGTGGTTGTATGTGCCTCCGGGGTATGTGGATGTTTTGTTTTCCTTTTTCTTGTTAAACATCTTAAAACAAGTAATTATAGTTTCCAACCGCCTGGCTACACTATGCAAGAAAGGTAATAAACCATCACAGCTACCCAGCACCATCCAGATTAAATGACTGTCGGAAAGCAAGAAAGAAATGTAATATGCAAGAGAAACATCAAGAAAGTGAGTCAGGGCACAGACCATACATCAGTTCAATTGCACATTTCATGATGAATATGCATGTAGAAAATTGTTTAGAAGCATTTGCCCATTTTGAAGATGCCAAAACACAGAGAGAGGGGGGGAGGGAGAGGGAGAGAGTGAGAGGGAGAGAGAGAGAGAGAGATGCCCAAGACTGGGGTAGAGTCTGGGATCTCAGCCACAAAACCTAGCAGCCTTCAAATCAGTGTGTGAAGCTCAATCCCGCTTCCCTTCTACTGTAAATACACCCTGGTCTTTATGGGACTGAGTTGGTAGATCCTAGCTGTGCCTAGCAGAAGCCACAAGGGGCAGATTTCCCAACACTTGGGCCAATGATTACTTGTATGCCTGGAATATGGATGAGCATGAATTCAGGTTATATATAAGGGTGAGCTGGAGAAATTAGGAATATGTAAAGGAGAGTGACATCATCCCCCAAAGTGTCTAATGTGGGGTTTTTTTTAAAATGGATTGAAAAGAGTTGTTTAAAAGTTGTTTTGCTTTTCTTGGTGAGGGGGATTGTTGATTTTTATTATTTTTTTATGTTCTTATCACTGCTGTGAGCCACCGGGAGTTATGGCCCATAAAATAGACAGCTATATAAGTCTCATAAATAAATAATATTACTCCTTTTTGCTGCCCAGGAATAAGATAACAATATAAATGGCAAGCATGCAAGCAGAATTTTCCAAGATAGGAAGAGAAGAGAGTTTTGTATCAAGAAGTGCTCTGATTTAGAGTGTGGAGAAAAATAATCTGTTATTATTCTTGCTCTGTATAAGCAAGTAGCCATATTAGAAAAAAGCAACAGGATAAAGATTTAGCATATTCCAATTATCTAACTCCGCCTTCTTTTTATTATAATATTAGGTCATATTTTTAATGTTCTGTTCACATTAGCCTAATGTAAGCAAACAGCAGCCTGCGAAAAAAAAGTTTGTGAGTGATATAAGCAATATTCATCTGTCTAACCCACAATCACAAAGAAAATGCCTGGAGCATCTATTTGACCTAAATAGTTGAAAACAATTTCATGCAAGACAGGAATTTTTATAAAGGGATGGTGAGTAAAGGAGAGTATTTTCAACATTTTGCAGCTAAATTGTCATTTATTATTTTTAAAAGATTATTTGATAATCTGTTTAGTTTTTCTTGCTTTGCTTTACATACCAGTACTTAGATTTTTAATATTGATGAATTGCAGGACAGAAGTCGGAAATGCAGGTGTGTAACTTTTTTTATTAGAAATAATCTACCACGTGTTTATATAATTCAGTCATGTTTTGTTAAATTTCAGTATAAAATAAATGTAACAGTTTTAGCAGACAAACTGACTATCAAGGATTTTTTTTTATTATTATACTGGCAACAAAAATAAAACGCACCATCATGTCATCATGACTGCAATAATACATTTTCATCCTTTTGCCGAAAATTTCAAATGAGGGAAGGAATTAACAAGATTTCATCTGTATCAATTTTTTTCAAAAGACAACTGGACTTTTTTTGTGTTTTTCCTTGAAGATCAGTTCAGTTCAGTTTAACTGAACTGAAGAAGCTTCTTGGATGAAAAGTGAAATGTCTTCAAGGAAAAACAAAGAAAGCCCAGTTGCCTTTTCAAAAAGCACCTTTGGGACAACCATGACCTGAATTACTGAAAATCTCCATAGACATTCTCCCATTGTATAACATGTCTCTTAGGACCAGCTTTCTTTAGCTGAGGTAACTTGTTATTTAAACATAATTCCAGAGCAAATGAATGAATTCACAACTTTGAATACAGCATTTGCCTGATTCGGTAGCATATGAATCAACTGGTGTAGTGAGACATTGGGCAGTTATCTTCTGTCTATCTAAGCTATCTTAGTATTTGTTCATTGCACTCTTCAATCATTTAACTCTAAGCAAAGCATAATTACAAAGTTATCAAGATTATCAAATATACCAAATAATATTATCAAGATATGTTCAATATCTTAATAATATTGCAATAAAAATCCTCACATAATAGCAAGGAACTGGCTTCATCCTAAAGATGGTACACCTTGAACAATCAACCAATGGAACAGCTTGCCTTCAGAAGTTGTGGGAGCTTCATCACTAGAAGCTTTCAAGAAGAGACTGGACCGCCATTTGTCAAAAATGGTGTAGGGTCTACTTGGGTAGTGGATTGGACTAGATGACCTACAAGGTCCCTTCCAACTCTGTTACTCTGTAATCTCTCATTCTCACATTGGTGTCTTCCTCCAATTTTAAAACCACACTCTTCTTCCAGTCCAGCTTTCCTCAATATATATTCTACATATAGGTTGAATAAATAAGGGGAGACTATCTTATCTCACTCCTTTGCCAACCTGGAGTCAGTCTGTTTTACCATGTTCTATCTATACTGCTTCTTACTGTGTACAGGCTTTGCATGGGCATAATATGATGTTCTAGGATTTCCATTTTTGCAAGTGCCTTCCGCAGCTAGATATGATTGACACAATCAAAGACATTTCTATAATCAGCGAAGCCCATACTGACTTCTTTTTGATATTCTTTGATGTTCTCAATTATTCAGTGTGTCTCAGCAATATCTTGTGTTTTTCATTCTTTTCAAAAGCTACTTTGAACATTTTCTCTCCATGTAGGGTTCTAATCTGCATCAGATGATCCTAAGTATTTTGCTTGCATGTGAAATTAAAGATATTGTACAAGTAGTCCTTACTTAACAATGGTAGTTGGGGCCTGAATTTCCATTACTAAATGGTCATGAAGAGCAATATCACATGACTGCATTTCTTAGGAATGGCAATCTCACCAGGCCCTGTTGCTCTTGTTAAATGAGGATTGAAGGTCATTAATCAAGAACTTCTTTGCAACTTCCTGCCAGCTTCCAACAACCAAAGTCAGCAAGAAGTTGCAAGTCCCAGATTCCAGGTGAAGGAGAGGGCATAGGTGGCTGCAGCAATATACACAAATTATTTCAGATCTAGGGATGGTTGCTGCCAGCAGGGGGAGGGTACACAGGTAGCCAGCAAGGTGTGGTAGCAGGATAGCAGGGCTGGGGGAGGCTTATTGGAGCAACTTGTGACCTTCCCAATCAGCTTTCCTATTGACTTTGCTTGACAGAAGCTGGCAAAGCAAGATCCCAAATGGCAATCACCTGACCATGGGACATTGCAATGGTCATTAGTACAAACCAGTTAACCAACGCCCATGATCATGATCCCATGACTGTAGGGATGGTGCAACTGCCAGAACTTTGAGGACCAGCTGTAAGTATCATTTGTTCAGTCACTGAATGAGTGGGTTGCTTAATGAGGACTACCCATACAATAGCTTGTATCTTCTATGGTAGGATGTAGACTTCAATCCATTTGCCATTCATTCTCTGAATTTGCTGGCATAGCTTGGTTAGAACTTGAATTCTTTCTCTTGCTTCTATAACTATTCCATCAAGTCCCATAGCCTTCTGACTTGGTAACAACCAGAGTACAAACCTAGCTTC